GGAGATGGACTAAAAACTTCAATCTTAAGTCAACAAAATTTCAAATCCCCAAAAAACAGGTTTTGTGAATAGACACTTCCTCTCAGCCAGGCATGTGCAACATATATCTTCCTACAACACTGTATTTCTACCTGTTGGCCAACATCAAGGACCTCTTCCTTTATGCTAAATGCCCACATTATTAAGGTACCCCTTTCCTCCTTGTAACCTCTTCTCTAAACTAAAGGCAGAGCATGATTATTTTCCACTAGCCCTTTCTCTCATGTCATTCAGGGCCAGGTGTGAAGATGTGATATTCTGATCAGGGGAGGAGAGAAGACACTGTACTCCCTTTCTTAGGATCTTCTCCTACTTTCTTCTTTCTGAGCAGTTCCTCCCTAAGCTGAGATCAGCCTCCCCACCTGTGAGCTGTGCAATCTGCTGTGAAAAAGACTTAGACAGTGATCTATGAGGTCCTGGACTAACACACTGCTATCTGCTTCCAAAAGATGGATAACACATTTTACCTGAGCTTCCTAGTGGATCAGTAGTTTCACCTATGCACCGCCCCCAAGCTACCTCAAAATGCTGTGCCTGTTTTCAGGTTCATGTACCCATTACAAATGCACTTCGAAATATTACCAACATTCTTGGAAGATGTAAAGCATCTGCTGAGCAAAAAGATTTTAAAAGTGGTTAACAGTGGTAAAGTACTATACAACTTATTTTTATGTAAATATATTCACCGCTACCACAGAATAAGCAAGTAAATTATACAAATTCAGCATTCTTTCCCTCCTCCAACATTTAAACTCTTGTCAGACATGTTAAGGGTCTAATCTACTTTAAAGAGAACCAAGATCCTGTATGATATAGTAAGCAACTATGGAGCCTAAACGAGGACTGGAGAAAAAGAAGAGAGGTTAGACATAGTTTTATGAAATGTTTGCTCCATACAAAATAAGTAAGAGGAGTGTGTAACATTTAACAGACTTCTTGCGCAACTCAAACACAAATGAAGAAGTCTCTAATATGTAAAACCTCTTCACACTCCAACTTGATAAAAATATTCCTCACTGAATACCAATTTGAAATAAGTTTCATTGAGGATTCATACTTATAACAAGATTTTAGTCCAGTCATTTTAGAATAATAAACAGAAACTAAAACAGAACAGTTTTTTAAAAAGTAAGAGTCACATTTTGGAAGAAATATCTCTCAAAATGACTTCTCTAACTAAAAATTCCCCTCCACCTAAAAGCAAAGCTCTCCTTTGGGCAAGAACTGCATGTCATAAATCAACATACAATAATGTTTATTTCAAAATTCTTTTTAAAGAGAATGTAAAATGTGCATAATACCAATAGGCCTATGCTGGAAACTGACTTACAAACTATTCTATCAAATAGCTATTGAGAATTCATAATGATGGTAAATGAGTCATTATTGTTTACACCCTCTCTAAGGAAATTTGTCATTTAACAGCACTGAATATCAAGCCAGAGTATCTGTTATCCCTAACACACTTTCACCCTTTCCTTACAGGAATTTAGTAGTTTCATACATTGGAGTCACTTCAAAAATTTTCAGAGCACAGACCTATGAATTTTTCTTCATAATCACTAACTGAATAGCAGTGATAAATTCTTGCTCATCAGTTGGACTGTTGGTCTTTGGTTTTGCTGTTGTGCAAGATTAACATGCACAAAAAAGAGCTCCTAAAGAGTGAGACAATTTTTTCTTCTTTACAGGGAGTGGTCTAGTTTTTGGTTTCATAAACTGTTATGTTCAAAGACTGACTGCTGGGTTGTTATATTAGATTAGCATTGCTTGGCTTTAAAGGTTTTCTAATAATATTCCCAGGAATAGCGATATTTAAAAACTAAGGAAGTAAGTGTTTAAAGAAAAAAAACCCTTTGTTTCAACATAAGAAACCCTAAAAAAATGTAACTAGATGGCACAGAAAGTATTGATGCTTTTTATTTTATTTATTATATTTTTGCATTTTTCTAGACAGAAGAGATGATATAGTCTCCTTAAACTAAGATCCTCAAATGACAAAATCCTTCACTTCTTAAAAAACTAAGGAAGTAAGTGTTTAAAGAAAAAAAACCCTTTGTTTCAACATAAGAAACCCTAAAAAAATGTAACTAGATGGCACAGAAAGTATTGATGCTTTTTATTTTATTTATTATATTTTTGCATTTTTCTAGACAGAAGAGATGATATAGTCTCCTTAAACTAAGATCCTCAAATGACAAAATCCTTCACTTCTTACCTTA